AACATTGAGTTTTAGCCAATTCCATGCTCAACGTAATTGACTCCTTACCCATGCCTTACATATCTCTTCAATCAGTACATGAGACTGCTATGCTGTTTTTGAAGCCTGATGTGACTGAGAAAAATAGAGAATTCTTTGTTCACTGTTCGTTTTGTTAGACTTGTTATTCACCGCCAGTAACCTCATATTTGACTTACGTCTAAACGTTTAGACCTCAGTAAAATTTAGAAGGATTTGTATGGAGTCATCAGAGCATAACTGGGCTAATATCTCAGAGACAATTTGTCCCGAAATACTAGTTTTTGGCAAGAAGGCCTCTTGGATGTTGCTCTTTTCAGAATATCCTGACAAATCCCCTAATTTCACAAATTAACACCTTACTCTTACCATATTTCATTTCTAACTATTCCTCCGCATTTACAATTAACCAGATCTACAACCACGACTCCGAAGTGTACGCTCCGTAGCGTCTTGTTACTGTTACTATTATCACTTTTGCCCCATAGGGTCTGTTTTCCAAGCTTTTTATATCATGCAACTTTTATCTCACAACAAACCATCCCTCGCTGGCTCTTTTCAGGTGGCTCACTGTGCACGATTCTTTCGTCTACAATGTGAGATTATTATTCTCCAAGGACACCACTGGGCCAATTCCACCAGCAGTCTTGCTACTCAGCGACGGTGGTCATCACGAAAATCTCGCCATTTTGCCTTTGTTACAGAGGAAATTGGAAAGGATTGTTGTTGTCGACGGAGGTTATAAAGAGGAAGAGGAGGACTACGGAGACTCTATTCTAAACGCATTGATGCTCGCTCGTGATGAGCTTAACTGTTCATTTCATGGCGAAGACGGTAAAGATGTTATTACAGACCTGATGCAAATGTTTGTAAAAGGGACACGAAAACCGCGTTATTACAAGTATGCATCTCTCACATAAACCTTTTTTCATTTTTATGATCGATAGAATAATCGTCCTTCTGTCTTGAAATCAAATTCACATAGTTTTAAGTGTGTTTACAACTGATTTTCAACGTTCTTTTCATTGAAAGAGTTACACGTTTTTCTTTCTACACAATAGTTACAGATAGCGGCAATTATATTGTCCTAACATAACGTCATGCATAAGTAGCCTGCCTAGCAGGCGCTTGGAAGTAGTGGGCACAAAAAAAAAAACGGACGCGCGAGAAGGACACTCGGGAGGGGAGAGGCTACGTCATAAAGGGAAGTCGAAAGGCAAGAATATGAAAACGTAGCTAGACTCACGTACGTTTTACGATGATATCACACGCCTAGCCTGTTCCAGACGACCTGATTGTGGGGGAGGGCTTAAAGAGATGTCAGCAGGAACAACAGCGAGGGGAACCGGGGCCAAACCTGTCCTCGAATGCGGCAACACGTGACATTTTTGGTTAATAACAATAATTTTGTCTGTTTGATTCTCTCCTTTAACCAAACTTGGTCAGTAAATACGTCCTCCAAGGAGGTCACTCGGAAGTTATAGTATTGTTCCGGGGGCATTTATATTTTCAATTTTGTCATAGCGAGGACCGGCATTTTAGTGCTTTACTCCCCGTTTGAAAACTTTTTCCAAATGGTGTGACGTTGTCCCTTACATTAAAAAGAAAAAAAACATTAAACTTGGTTTAGTGACATGATCCGTAGTGACGTTATGATAATTTTGAAAAAGATCAACGACTATTTCGCAAGCTTGGTAAGGAAATGAAAGTGATTAATATGCAAAATTAGCCTTTAGGAGCCTTTTGACAGGTGGTTTGGTACACCATATTACTTATACATTGTTCATCCCTGATAGAAACCTATCAGAGCTCAGTAACATTCTGGAAAAATTTCTCTCGTAATTAAACAGATTTAAAGTTCACTATGGCAAAGAGAATGGCAATGATCCGGACCGCGATGGAGAAATCATTCTTCTTGTGCCAAGGGAACCACAGGATAGCGCGACCAAAGACGTGGTCACGGTGGTAGCCAAAGAGGAGGACACGGGGGTAACCAAAGAAGAGGCCTTGAAGTTAACCTTCTGCTGCTGCGAGTGTTGTCATTGCGAATCATGTTTATGTCATTGCTTTCCCAAGTGTTGTGGTGGCGAATTATGTCCACATTGCTTGTCCGAGTGTTGTTGCGGCGCGTTCCCACAACACAGCACGGCCAATCAGTTCTTCACACCCCAGATGTTTGAGGCTTATCAAAAGGAAGGACGCCAGGCCTGCAAAGAGGCTAAAGCTTATGACTTTTTGAAAGCTGTTTGCCCTGCAGATGATGCGCGGGACGCTTCGGCAGAACTAATTTCAATCTAAGGGTAACGCTGGCGCTTCTAAGGATAACGGAATGGAGTTGGTCGCTATCAAGACTGAGTAAAGTCATAAAAGACCCAACACAGGGATGCTACCCATGTATAGAGTAAGGGTACAAGGTAGCAAAAATTTAGTAGTAGTAGAAGCAGCAGTAGTAGTAGTAGTAGCAGCAGCAGCAGCAGCAGCAGTACTAGTAGGCTGATGTTTACTCTTCCGCCTGTCACGTTGGTTAGAATGCCAGCAACATATATGGTAATTAGCCGAGAAGAAAATGAATGTACTGTGTAATAAGAACAATCAGAAAACGGTAAAGGAGAAAAAGTTGTTACCAAAACCCTGTTTACCATATAAAACCTATTAATTAGTATTTTTCACTTTCAGTCTTACCAAAACGAGTCGTATTAGGTTTTGGTTTTGTTACTGTACCTTGTCCGGTTTATACGTTGACGCTCATGAATAACCAGATGTATACTGGGGAGAATTGAAGCTATTAACTATCACAGTACTAAGTGGCCCAATGAGAATTCCAGGTGCTAAGTTTCGGGGGTAGAAGCGGAATCATTTGAATCTTGATATTCATGATTCCTGTCGTTTTTGCCTTAATGATTCATGATTCCTACAAGAATTCAGATTCATCATTCACGAAAACTGTTTTGAAAATTGGACTCTTGGAAACGCCATATCCTGCATTCCCTGATCGAACGTAATTCATTCATACGTGTATTATGCTGAGCTTTTCTCAGAGTCTCGTTATTCATGATTCCCAAGTTTTTAAAACAAAGCATATGATTCTTACGTGTTTTGTAACTATGATTCATGATTCCGCTTCCACTCCCGATGCTAAGTTGATATCGCGATTTCAAAAATTGACTAAATGGGGTATTTACTACAACGTGTCGAACAACCCCTTTTAAAAACCGTTTTTAGTTTCTGACTATATAATGAGGTAGCTACATTAGCTAAAAAACTTGGTCAGAGTAGGATCACATAGCCACCCTTAACAACCCGCAGCCTTCTTGACCCGAAAAGGACAGCAAAGGGTCGGCGAGGCCCGTAGTCTCTCCGAGAGGATGTTTATTGCATTCTGATCATCCCACGTTTAAAAGGTCTCACCCCCCAGGAGTCGTCTCCCTGAACTTCCCCTATGCTCATTGGAAATGAATATTTTGTTTATTGTGTAATTAAATTTAATTCTCAGCAAAAAGACTTCTTCTTTAGGATTGTTCTCTTCGTGAGATAGAATCACAAGGATTTTCTTAACTAAAGTTTCGTCTTTCCTTCCGATTTAACTCAATTAATACCGTTATTTTAGACCATCGTTACGAACACGTCTGTAGGGTGTTTCTAAAATGTGTTGAGCCCAGGCACTTGTGACTCTATGACTTTCCTCAGGGTACCCATACAAACATTAAAGCCGCTGGTGGAGGAATTAGGCCTCAGAAAACCTTAAACCACTAGATGGAATAACGAATTAGTTCTTGAGATTGGATTTTTTTTTATGTATACCATTCAAGTATTGAACACGAGCTGTTTTCATATTCTTTAGCTTAACGTAGCCTGTTCCAGGTTCTCAGATAGTAGGGATAACGAGTAAGTATTTCCGTGTTCACCCTTTCTCAATTTCGCAGACCCGACTATCTCGGAGCCTGGAACAGGCTAAGCTGAAACGTCGAGAAAAGGACCCGTGAAAACTACCATTGGCAGACTCTTCTTGTTTGCACCAAATCAAACAGGGTTCATAAAACTTTAAAAACCTCTTCTGTTGGAGTTGGAAGGGTTTGCATTGGGATTTCAATCCCTTTTTTTTACAGTAAGAGTCATGTTTTAGCATCTCTTGGTTTAAGATATCTTTTAGTCGAAAGAAGACTAAGAAGTTTAGCCTTTTTAATATATTCAAAATCCTGTAAAATTTTGACGCGATTTACTCTTTGTGACTTGACGTCTTGTTGAAATGACTTTTTATAGAGGCTGGATTTACACTGAGCCATTTGAGAGAGTCAGTTTTCTTTCCTTCTCCAAACAAAGAAAGCAGGGGCATAACAGGCTCTTACTAATCCAGCCTATAGGTATCATGGTGACTTTTTAATTTAACCACCCTTGTTGTTAGTTTTGCCAGCCTTTTACTAAAATACAGAATCACGTAGTTGTGTTTCTGCGTAAACCTTGAAAGAGCTACAGTTCTTGTAATTAAAAGGCAAATCTTCTATATACCTCTAAAAATAGTAATAGATGGATAGTAATTACAGTATTAAAGTATGAAAGGGATTGAAAGAATGAAGAAGGTAAAAAAAGGGATAGTGTATTAAACGGATTGTTTTCCATTAAAGTACTTAGTTATAACAGAAACATTTTTGTTTTCCTGGCTCTAGAGATTTTTTACATATAATTACACGATAATAATATACGGATAAAACTACTAATTACTAACAACAGCTCCCCCAAAATCAAACAAGACATATATCACCTATTCATATCAAATATGGTTATTTAAAAATTCACACTAAACACTAGTGTTAGCTTATTTACATCCGTACAAATCATTCAATTTGCAATCTAGCGGGAACAAACAAGCGATATCGTCCTTTCTCAAAATACAAAATTACCAAAGTACCCCTCATTTCAAATACTGAATTCAATATTGCAAATGGCAGCAATGATATTTCCGTGTGTTCATCGCTGCAATAAACTATCACGTGTTTGATTGTCATGAAAGAGGCGCGTGCACGCTATGATGAGGTGAGGTTAGCGATTGCAGTTGTCACATTGTGACATACAAGCGTGACATTAGAGCTGGTGCCAGAGCCTCCTCCTGCTTTTCCAGCATTTCCAGCCCAGTCTGGAAAAGTTTTTAAGTTGAACATAGGGACCACATAGGTACTGACACAAATTATCAGCACCGTCACGGCTAGGAGATTCATTACGATACCAGCTTTTGCCTGACGAAAGAAAAGAGTCGTATTTGAATCATTTCTCAGTTGACTTTGCGACTGGGCCAGTTTTCATTAGAGTGTATTTTAATTTTACCTTTGCTTTAGTGAGATTTTTTATTAACCTGGCCAATAACAGCAAGCATAGACAATTCATATGCAATGAACCAATCAAATGGCTAGGAGGTGCTAAGGGTAGGAAAATGCGACGTGCATACAAGTTATGATTTGCTTTGGCTGGATTTCTGATTGGTTAACACCATGGTGTGATTCTTCTAGCAGCCAGTCACAAAACATTCCAATGCAAAAGCAAAGGAGCCATGATAGTAACTAGGAATTCAATAAACTAATGACAAAGACAGTGAAGCAAACACCGTCATAAAGTTCCAAAGAATGGGACCTTTATGAAAGACCATCCCAAGAACCATTGGCTTTATTTTGGTCGGCACTGTAATGGATTAAGGCGACACCAAATTTTAATGAGTAGTCAATAGAAAACCTCTTTGATTGCAATCTATGTTACATACCATGTCCTTGACTTTGAGGTGTCCATCAGCAAATACAATTGCATTTGGTGGAGTAGCGACGCGCAACATGAAAGTGAATGAACAAGAGATGGCAGCAGGAAGCATGAGGTACCAAGGATGGACATTGATTTCCTCTCCCTGAATAAAAGATACATAAAAAATCAGTGTTTCTGTTTCTGCATTTTCAGGACAAACCTTATAAAACAAGTGACACACTCAGGCACCAACCCAACCTCATCCCCAGGGCACTTTTCCCTGGCTTTGGACCCCACCTCCAAAGCCAGGGAAAAGCACCCTGGGAACCAGGTTGGCACCAAGCCACGGAGCCTACTGACTGAGTGGTTAGTAGCTTTGGCACATAGCCATAACACTGGGGCAGTGTCAGCCCACCCTCTGCTCATTAGAATGGCATAGCAGTCAGACCCAAAGTCAGGTGCCTTTAATTGCCGAGGCAAGTTAAAAGCACCCCATTAGACGCAGACTCCACATAACATTTCTTATGCGTACAGCTCTCCTCAGTGGACAATTCTGCTGGTCGCACAGAGGCCCGCTTAGGGGAGGTTCTATCTCACCACTGAGCATACATCTAGAACCCCTCTATCAAAAATCCCTGCACCGGTCCCTGTCAAAGTCTCCTAATAAAGCATCCACTTCATTTATCATTACAAAAAGACAAATGGATAACAAATACTTGCGAAGAGCTTGAAAATTGTAAAAAAACTCAGCCCTTCATCAGGTTGTTGAAAATCAAAAAATACCCTTGATATTAATAACATTTTATTTCTTCCATGGCCATCTAATTTCACGCACCCGCGGTAGCAGTGGACACTTAGAAAAAATTACAACAGTAAACAATGGAAATTTTACAAAGAAATGTGGGATAAGTAAAATAATTTGCAATACAGCATGTCGTGTGATATACCTAAACACTAGGACGCGATTGAAACTGAAAGGTTGACTTATTTAGATCTTAGTTTTGACAAATTTAAACTCCTATCTTCAATTAATCTCGAGCTTCCCAGAATGGAAATAAAAATACGAAAAAATTACCTGTTTCTTGCATATGATTATATTGCAAATGGAGCACTGCCGCCTTGACTAACCTCTTCTTTTTAGTAATTAATGACAATTCCGCTGGGAAACTCCCTTACCTTCCGTTTAAAACTTCAAGTACAAAGTCTTATCTTTCTCTCGTAGTTTTTTTGTCCACTGAAAAAGTATATTCTTCCTTCCCACGTTTAAACAATTTGGAGTTCATTCTATCGGTAAATACGCTTCTACTACATGGCTTAAATCCAAGACCTTCGCTCTACAGTATCTTGGCCAAAAATCATCTCAATTGTCTCCAAAACCTCTTGCTCGAAAGCTTGTTTCTTTGAGTTTTCGGCGCCATTATTGTTTGTGGCAATATTTTTGATCAGCGGCTTTTATTTGACAATAGACAACTATGTATTTGACCACTCGAACTTTCCGAACATTATGAGCCCAGGAATCACAGTAAAAACCAGCGGTTAAAACCATTGCGAAACAATCGGAATGTAAGTAGCGCGAAGTTTGACGTGCGAGATTTCTGGACATGCGAGTATAACAGTTTGTCTCCTTTTCGCAATTTCATTTCCATTTGACGAATATTTTTGTCGAGTTCAGAGTAAGAAGAAGTCACAAATAAGCTAAAAGACAAACTCACAAGTAGCCTGAGTATCAGGCGTTTCTGGGGAAAAGGGGAAAGATGGAAGCGAAAAAAGGAGGGCTAACTCACAAGCGATGCCAGTATTGGAAGAAAGATGGTGGCTGTAGCTGTGTTGGAGGTGACCTCAGTGAATGTAGTAATCATTACACAGACGATAATGACGATTGCATAGCTCGGTATGGCACCAAGATAGGCTAATTGGGTTCCAGTCCACTTGGATAAGCCAGACACCTCATGTCAGATAATCACGAGGTAAAAGTACAAACAATTGAGAAACTTAACAGCGTCAAGAAAAATGTTTCTTTTCAGTTGCAAGCCTGCACTTGCAGGCATTTGAAAAAAACTGGGGAAAGGGGCAATATAGACAACATAGGACGCACGGGAACCTAGTTCGTTGTTCCTTAGTCTGTACGGCTTTATGTCCCCTCCCCCCACAGCTAAAAATTGCTCGAAAAGAACAAAGTTCCTTGAAATACGAGAAGTTCTCAAAAAGTTGCCGAGCAGCTTGTGGAAAGCCCTACTTTTGACCAATAGGATGAGCCTGCAAAAGACAAGTTTAAACAAATCATATATTAGAACAGTTGCACGTCTACCTACAATTGCGCTCTTTACGGGTCGAAGTGGTGTGAATAACTCAGCTGAGAAAAGGTTTTGGATTTGACTTCTGTAAAAAGCCAAATAAGGTGGGTACTTACGGAAAAAAGATCAGGCCCCAGTTGTTCAAACGTTGGATAGCGCTATCCAGCGGATAAATCACTATCCAGCGGATAGCGTAATTGATTTCCGTAATACTTATCGGCTGGATAGTGATTTATCCGGTGGATAGCGCTATCCAACGTTTGAACAACCGGGGCCAGTTCCATATGTTGATACTCTGATTATTTAAGTTCCGTTGATATAGAACCGATTCAAAGATATAGGAGCAGTGAATTCGATCTCCTTTTAGGTAAATTAACTTTAAATGTTGGCGGAAGATGGGGTTGTAGATTGATCCTCACCGGTCCGGAAATGGCTAGCATTAACAAGCAAGGACTAAGCTTCTTTTGGAAGAAGATGGGCATTAATAGCTCTTCCGTATTTTGTGTCCTCGATTTTAAAACCATTTGCTTCCTGATGCATTATTATCAGCCAGTTTTCTAGTCTGCTGGGGAAGCAGACACCCCCAGCATGTTCTCGCCTCCATTACGGAAAAGTATGAATTTCTGAGTCTTTTAACGCACTCAAACTTACGCAGCCTTTGCTCACTTTCATTTGCACGCAGGTTAAGTAAGTGCAAAAGTAACCGATTCTGAGTGGTGAGAGGATTGCTTTCTTTTACAGCCAGTTGGATTCATTTAAGTGTTAATTTAAGGCATTATTTTGTTATTATAAATCTCGCTTGATATCCCGCTTGCTCGAAATTTATTCAGCCTTTATTTTTTTTGTACAGCAACTGGGAAGTGTATCAAAGTGTCGAAACCACAATTTTTGGAAAGCTGTAATTTCACATAAACATGCATTTCTTCGTGAAAAATGGCCGTCTTTATTATAAGTAAACCCGGAAGTAACAGGCGTGGCTGTATGCTAGACATTCGGCTCAAACATATTTTTAATTGCTTGTAGCTTTTGTTGCGCAGTATTGCCTTAACTTGTACTCGAATGGAACACGGAAATTCTCACTATTGTAGGAAATCATTAAAAACTTTTCAATGCATGGCTGCAAGCTTGAAACTAATCGTCTCAATCATTCTCAGATTCGAAAAGTGGAAAACTGACGCTTCGTTATTGTCTATAGCGTTTGCCATGCAGTTTGCCTTATCCGGTAGCGAAGATTTCCCATCTGGTGAAGAAAAAGACAGACAGTTTCCTTTTTCATCAACTGGATGAGTATAAGGTCAAAGGAAGAAGTGGAGTGTGGTGGAGGGTGAAGAAAATCTCCCCTCCCCAACAACTTTTTTAACCTTCACCCCCTTGCACGGGCCCCCATGGTCGCTTTTTAGTCGCTATGTGTCATCAATATAGGTTGGGTCAGCGAATCCTTAAGGGTGCGGCGAGTTATGAATTCTGAGCCCTGCTATCGATTTCCCTACTTCACGATCCAGAGGTCGCATAACGATCGGTCGAAAATTAGAGTCTTCTGTCTAGGAAAGTTTAACCTGAGTATCAGGCCTTCCTAAGGGGCTAGGGGAGAGGAGATTTTAGATGGGGAAAGGGTATTGTTACTGTAAATAAAATTAAAGCGAGGTAGCCATGTATTGAGAATAGCCAACAGCACCAAGGCTTTATCTTGACTTTGCTTGTGCCGGTTTACGATAGGGTACGTGATTGGAATTCGTTCGCAGTTCCTCTTCCAAATTTTTTTTCAATTTTGAAATGTCTTAAGCTCAACCGGGCGCCATCATATCTCGCTTTCCCTCGGACAATTCTCGGCCTGATCTACATCAGCTTTTTAGCTGCCAGACTCTCAGGAACCTGCTTATTAATGAGCGCCTGTTGTTACTCTGTAAACAAAAGCAATTTACAATTTTTCGGGCGCGACGTTTATTTACAAACAGAGCGTTGGCGATCACTTGCACAATTCCTAAAACATGTTATAATTCCTCAAAAACGGCAGGTTTTCCATTACAAGTATTCGAAAACTCCTCACTGGAGGTTCCAGAACAAAAGCGACAGGGAAAGCGAAAATCGTAGCAACACAAGCAGCTTTTTGACCCGTGAAGCTGACAACCCAATTACAGGAAGTGATTTTGATTGGATGTTATTGAATCATGCCGTGTGGGGGTAGAAGGTTCTAGCAAAAGCATCTGTGTCAGGCGTTTTCTCTCCCTCAGCTCTCTCCCTTTTTTGCTTCCATCTTTCCCCTTTTTCCTCAGAAACGCCTCATACTCAGGCTAAGGGAAGATTGTTGTATTCTAATTGTTAAACGTCGATATGAGGTAAGATTACCGTATTCCATTGCATATTATTAAGACCTGATCAGCCTGTTGTCTGACCCGAGCATTCCGCACAATAATTACCACTGAATTACCATAGACTGAATTCTCGATATCCTCCAACTTGTGTTTGCTCTGTTTCATTGATTTGTGACTCCTTCTCTATTTTTTCATTCAGCAAATCGTACGTACTTTCAGCGGCAGAGTCCAAAAACTAGAGCAATTTCGCTCCATTTTTTGGAAATGTAAGGGTATTTAAAACTTCAGTATGATCATGACTACCACTTAGATCAATGATCGTTTCCGGGAAAACATAAACGGGTACCCTGGTATTTAAACCCTGCCATTTAGTGCATGAGATCTCACTGAAGTGGAGCAGTTAAGGCGGCTATTTTTCTTAACTTACGAGGAAACATGTGATTTGCATCAGGTGTGGTTGTTTTAGTGTCAGAAGTGTGTGAGAATATGCCGATCTCATCCTTGTACGCGAGTCCCTTCAAGGATGAAAACATCAGTTGACAAAGGTACTCAGCTGACCTTTCCTACTGCCTTTGCGATCTCTCGGAAGGCCTTTTTGGCATCATCTGCGCCAACCCACTCTATGAGAGTGCATGAATACGAAGGTTCCAATTTTCTAAGCAGCAAGAATCTGCAAAGGGTCGTCAGTGAAGTGATACGAACGGTTCAATCTAAAGATGTGATAAAATTAAATTTCGGGTATTGCTTAGACACGGTGGAATGAAAGATGGAAATGACCAAGTCGGTGGAAGACACAATGCAAATCACAAAAATCAAGATATGGTAGGCAGTGTTGAGGGATTCGGTTGTAATGGCTACGCTTCGTGAGGCACGCTATACCGATGAACAGTGTTGGAGTATAGTTAAGGAGGTAAACGGTGTGAGGGCATCGGGATTACACAAGAAGAAGGGCAGGAGAATAGGACTGGGGTGAAGGTTGTTACTTTCTTCAAGGACAATCTCCCAGTTGATGTATGTGTAGTCCCAAGATGATTCAGTTGCGATTTAGAAATGAAATATTAACGTTTCACATCTGCATTGAACCAAGTCACAAATCACGAGATCAATAGATACAAAACAGCAATTTAATTATGATCACCCAAAAAGTTATCTATCGCACTGATTTGCCGAATTCAAGAAAATTTGACACCATTAATCTATAAAAGCTTCGACTGAGAGTCGATGAGAGCCTCAGAAATAGCGAGAAAGCTGCAAATGCTAAAAGTGATGAATTTCATGTGCAAAGCGTAACCCTCGGGACTGTGTTAACGCAAATCAGTCATAAGCCACAATCAATAAAGTAAATATGTATAACCTATTTCTTAAATGCTAATTAGAGGTGACAACACCAGCTTGTGTACGCATGAACAGTTTACGTTGGAATATACACCAGTGGTACTGCACTCAAGCTTCATGCATGCACTCATTGTTCCAAAACAAATGATAGCCATCTGGCCCCAGTTGTTAAAACGCTGGGTATGGAAAATGCAGTAGGTTTCCCTAAAACCTTAGCCTCCCAAGCAGACGTTCTTAGGGGTTCGTCACGCAGGAACGCGTGACGAACCCCTAAGAACATCTGCGTGGGAGGCTATAAAACCTATCTGCTAGTGATTTATCCTGTGGATAGCGCTATCCAGGGTATCCAACGTTTGAACAACCGGGGCCTCCGCCAAGAATGATCAGAAATATTCTGTACCGCGAGGCAAAAGACTATGGATTGCATTAAAAACGTACAGCACTTAGAATATACCTTCTTTTTGTTGATTTTCGTGACTTTTCAGTTACACAGCCGGACGAAAATTGCGGCATACATTTGACGTTTGCTTGAAAATTTTAAAGGCGAAAATTCATTGGTTCTGGCAACACGACAAGTGCATTTCTTCGGGAGAAAAACTATACGGTAGAGACTCCTGGCGCGTCCTCTACAAAATTAGTAACCGGTGTGATTTCAACATGTTTACGGCCTGATGAGCCTTCAAAATATGATATAAACAATAGATCACTTCAACAACACTTTTGATAACTAAAAGTATCCTTAAAACCCAGCCTTTGCTCTCATCACTGGCTTTGTGGTTTTAGCTTTTCAGGTGACATGTACAGGGCTAGGTTATGGAAAATTGCCAGTGGTCAGTTGTTTATAATATAACATTGTTTTAATCTGACTGGCAAATCTATTTCCTGTCTGTAGTGAGAAACCAATCTCTGAGGCAAGAGCATCTGTAAGGCGCTACAGCTATGAAAGAGAGGAGTGGGAAGACTCCGGTGACGCCTGGGTCCAAGTTTATCATCATCTTGTAAACAACACATACAGAATAGTTGGCACAAAATTCGAAGATGAGTCGGTATGTTTGCAACAGATTAATGTTAGTAAGAGGTTTTTTAGATTTACTTTTGATCAGCTAGTATAGAACTGTGCTGAAGTTATACCATGTACACACGATGGCTTTTTCCATAAGGAATGTGTACCTTGAGATGATGCAGTAATTAATTGGTTGTCGAAATACGTCAGTCACTATATCTATAACTACAGCCTTTTTCAAGATCGCATTCAAACAGACGAACGCCTTTCACTTCTTAATTTTGATATTAAGTCAACTTTCCCTAAAACAACACCTTAATCGGATAGACAGTTCCCTATAATAAAAAAAAATTCTATAAGGTAGGCAACTTTCAGTCTATGATGGACACTTAGAGACGATATCAACAATGTCCACCTCAGCCCGACAGTCAAATGAACCACAGGTGTCCCAAACTTACTATGTGAGCGCATGTTAATAATTAGCACATCTGCTAATATTGCATAACGTAGGGTTTTATTATGTTTTATATGGGAAAAATAAAAAAATTGAAAAAATATCGCAATATCTTAGCTTATCGTGCAGCAAAGAAATAAAATAAAGCCCCTTTTTGCTGTACTTTGTGGTCGTTTCGAAGCGTTTTGGGCTAGTTGTGCTAAGACAGCATTGCAAAACCACTGTAGGTTTTCAGAGTCCATATGACCTTAAGGTGTTAACCAGGTGGGAATCTTGGTGTCCTCTGGATACCCAGTACCGTGCGAGCCGAGGCCTTTCGATCAGTTGCTAGAGCGGCTTTTCGCGCAGGGTAGATACTGCCCCAGGGTTTTGAGAAAAACAAGTCACATGATTATTTGAAATGCTGATGTTATAATGGCTGGACTTGAATTTTGGGAATCTCTCAACTGAGAGGGTTCATGCGTTTTGTTTAACGTACTGGAGGCGGACTTTTCTTACCCAGACTCACAGCTGCAGGTCTATGTGATTAGACTGCATTTTATGTTGTAGGTTGTTATAAACTTTGCACTGGTAAAAGGATTAGTCTACGACCAACCAACAGCAACTATTCACCAGTGGAGTTACCAAAATCAAACATACGGTTTGAATTTTGTGAGCGAACAGGATGCCCAAGTTTTTGGACATGGTGTGTTTACCGCTCTGGAAAACCTGAAAACTAGTGGTAAGGCATTTAAATGTTGCAGTAATTTTTTATTTATTCTTAATGCTGTTACAGGCGTATCAGTGAAAACGTGTCAAAAAAAAGTTTTGATGTGTCAAAATAACGTGTCAAAATAAAATGTTTTGATAGTAAACTTACCGTGGCACTAAATGTTTGAGGCGGGATATTAACTTTAGGATAAGGGCCGAGAGGATTATTCAGAAATGCTGACGTTAGGATCAATGTACTTCATTCGCTTTAGCCGTGAGTCAGAATCCCGCCTTACCTTCGTCCCATTAGGCTTCGATATTTAGTGCCGGCAGAATATCGACTAGAGTGTGCGACCTTTAAGCATGCACTGTGCTAACAAAATAGGAAATTTTCGAGCAGAGTTTGAGGGCAATAACAATAATTATATGCGAGACCTAAGTATGTACAAAACAGTTGTAAGAAAAAACTGAATAAAAATCTAGAAGTGTAAACACTGAGCTAAAGTTTAACGTGATTATTAGCTCTCATTAACGTACGGTCACGTGATGCCTTCACATTCATCATTACTGCTCGCACAGCGCAGCAACCTATTTTTGTCTTGAAATCGTCTGAGTACTCGATTTTTAGGCAGTTTGTTTGATTGTTTGGTTGGTAGTAACGGCTTGGAAACTAAAATTTGATAGCATTTTGTTTTGAATAAGGTTATGGGCATGATTTTCAGTTGAATATGCCTAGCGAGCGTAAAAATCGCATCCAGTCTGAGGATTAATGAGAGAGGGAAAATTTTATATATTTAGGCATGACAAAATTCAAGGGAACATTGGTACTTAGAAATAACATCTCATAGGCATGGAAAAAATGGGTTCATGCCCTCGCAGCCCAAAATTGACCCAGCTAAACTTAGGTCCCAGATCTCTCGCCGGGTTAATAATTCATTCCCAGTTTTAGCTCCTCTGGTTTGGCATGCCGGGCATGCCGATGGTGAAGCCAGTTGGTTTGGCATGCCCGGCATGCCAGGCAAGAAATTGGCATGCCCAGCGAGACTGATTTTGATGTTCGCTTCAGCATCATATCCTGAGAATCACATATAATCGCCAAATATATCTTAGGGAGCTTGAAGTTACAGGTTTCATGCCTGGCAATAAATGCAGATTATAACAAAAAAAGTCATGTTTGTCACAATGTGTGTCACGGGATCGACTGGCAAAACTGAAGACAGAAGCCTGGATTTATAAATAAAAAGCACAACAAAACAACATTATTCATACATAAAATAGAATACTTAACTTGCAATCAAAGATTAATCCTTTTATTTCAAACCGATACTGACATTTCTGGGTCCACATTTAAATTTGATCGCGGAAAAGCGTCTTAAACAATAAGATAACAAATCTTCTCAGTATAAACTTATCCATGCTTAAGTTTTATCGTGTCGGAATGTTTCCCGGTCAACAGCATTAAAAGACTGGTGAAAATGAAGCTTACCAGGTCGTTCAAGTCAGTACGAGAGTACGACGTTAATACTGCAAAGACGTTCTGATTTGGTGAATTTGGACTGCCTTCTCAGAGAGATTTTGCTTAGTTTTTCAGTGCGCTCCTTGTCGGCTATGCGAATCTCGCAAACTGTTTTACTCCTTGCTGACGATAGTCCTTTGAGCAACGTCATCTGCGTCATCCGAAGATACCCCGAGCACGCACGAAATCGGCCGAATTTCCGCAGAAGTGTTTTCGCGGATGACGAGGAATCTAGTTTGTTGTAGCGTGGCAGTTGTGGCGTCACGATGTCGTCATGTCTCTTCGCACTTGTTTGTCTTTTTTTTCTGCGGTGCATGGTTGAGATGTTGGTGAATGCTGGACAAGAAATGGATTCTGCGAGAGACTGTAAGTACAAATTTAGTATTAATTTGGTAAAGAAAAAGCCTGAATATCGAACAAATCCCGTGAATTATCCTTTTGGCATTCAGTTTATCTTGCTGTTGAGCATGCCTAAGAACTCCGGCATAAGTGGTTGTCAACTTGTTCACTTCGGATTGTTTCTGTTTGTATGTCTTGTAATCTTCTTCTGCTGCTAAGAAGACTAGAGAAAACTTCAAAAATAAGAAACCAAAGCTAAAAAAAGTCAGTTCTAATTTTATAGCTCGAGTATAATTATTTTTGGCACCTACGGTCATATTTTTCCACTGTACTGGTAAAGTTACTTATTTTTGCTGCATAGTTTGACTGTTGTTTGAAAGACAATCAAACGGATATTACAATCACTTTTGGAGACAAAATAAAATATCCGTAAATCAAATGCCAAAATCAGATTTGGATTTCGCTTTAAAAAAATGAACATGCTGCGCGTGTCAATGCAAAGTTGTAAACAACTCAATATAAGCAGTCTGTGAATGTGCGTTTAGGTCCACAAAACTAATTTTTCTTTTGGACATCTCATCCAAGCAAAGACTTAAGGCTTACATTGCTTGTCTACGAGTGTACTACAAAATGCTTTGCTACAGTAAGCCTCTGAGAGGCGATTCTGGTAAATTTATAGGACGCTAAAATGCAAATAATTCTAAGCTTAAACAACCTGGCTGGGTCCGACTTTTGAATTACAAAATGTTCAGGTTTGCCGGCTCTACTTTAAATGAACATGGTTTTTGAAATGATTTTGTAATATTTTAACCCGAAAATTATGATTGGGTTATAAAGCTTTTAAAACGGACGAAAACTAAGCTAATAAACATGTTCAATGTAAAAAACTAAGATTTAGTCGCTTTTTCAACTTTGCTTTGTGGGCCGAAAAATTTACCTTTACGCAAAAACAAAAGCAAATAATGAGGCTTTTATTGGACATATTTTCTGAGAATTTTATCTGATCAATTTAATGTCACTAGCATTGTTTTCGTATAGGAATTTTCCTAATTAAATGAGCTTTTAATTTAATAATTTTGATACTCTATAAACTTCTCATTTGATAGCCTCACTTTTTTATACACCGATTGAGAAACAAATTCGCTCTCGTTAAATCCTATTTTATGACCTATTTATTAGAACTCTAGGTAACATACGAAATGATGTAACCGGACAGGCTTTAACCTTTGGTCCTAATTTATTTTTTCTTCGCAACCCCTAATCAGTTGACGGGCCGTGAAAGAATATCGCCACAAAAAGATGCGAAAAAGTTTTCGCTGAGTTTCCTTTACATATTCCGGCTTTATATGGGTCTACACCCCAATTGCCTGCTTAAAAATGAAACTGTTGTTCAATTAAGTGTCAGTCAAACTCGGTATAATCTTGACTTGCAAATCCAAATGCAAAGGTTTATTTCGCAGTAGAAAAGCGTGTAAACATCATCGAACAGCGCAATGTAAATTGGCTAATGTGAAACCACGTTTCTTTCACTTTATTTACCATGTATTTATCTCAATTGCACACTCTTGTGAAATTAGCCTCAGACAATTAGTTGCGACCTTTAACAGACTCAACAAGCCAGTATGAAAATATGTTAAGAGAAGCTGAGCTCTACATGTTCTATTTCTTTTTTTCATATTGCCCTTGCATGTGTTAAGATTCCATTTCTTTTTTGTTACAGGTAACTTCCAGACATGACGAGGAGATAATTACTTTTCTAGAGAGCAATCCTTTGATACCGTCAGTTATTACTGACTTACTTTGAGTTAAAAACGAAGAACACAGACACTGGTAATGACAAAAAAACATTAATCCCTGGCAAGCCTACAAAACAAGAAAGAGGAACTCAGACTCCTTATCAAAATGTGAAACAAGATAAAAAGAGCTTTTCTAACGTAGGGAAAATTGCGTTCGAGAGATTTGTAATTGCAACGTTATATTCAAGCACATTGCATTGTCAAACATCATAATTTACTGAATAATGAACAGTGATTTTGGGGCTTAGCTCAGTTTGTAATGAACTTTGAAAGATATTCTATAACCTTGTATTTTTAAAAGCTTTCATGGAACATAGATGCATTTTATTATACAATGAAAATAGTCTCTGTCTCTCTTTTTACTGATTTCAGTCAATTCCATTTTATTCGCAATGTGAAATGGGAATCCTATTAAAGACTCATTAAAAGGGGTGAGGAGTTTTTACAATCCCCCAACAGGTCATCTCCACGATGACGCTGTTTTATTACTTCGGCAGAATCCCTCAGGGTTTTACTTTCTTGTGAAAATTAGAGCTTTTGTTATTTAAACTTCGCTGGGACAACCAAATCTATGAAAATGAAAGGAATAGCAATGACGTCATCGTGTAACCGTACATCAAAAGATAAGCAGTGTGATCTGTTTTTTTTTTTTTTTTAGCCACGCTTAAAATATCTGTAGATTCAAGGAATTATAACCTGTGCGTTGAGAGCATGCCAGAGACCGATTTTGGCATGCCCGGCATGACCCAGATTATGGCACGCCCGGCATTCCAGAGAATTTAGCATGCCGGGCATGTCAGAAAATTTGGCATGCCCGGCATGCCGGAGATTTTGCTGGGTATGAATTACTTATTACTAGAACCTAGGCTTCTCGCGGCCTGGGTGAGAAGGTCACAGAACCTCAAATTATGCTTACAGGGCATGCGAAATTCTGTTGCATGCCAATTTCAATGCAAAACCACTCTGGGGCCACCCCCTCTATTACCAGTGAGCAAATCATTGACGATAGGCATGGGAAAAATCCTTGCATGCTAACCAACACTGAAAACGTAACAGAAATGTCCTCAATTGCTGAGTCATGCCCTAGGGGAGGCTTTAAAGTACAGAATTTCCTGACATGGATGAGGGAATTTTCCGTAAACAGCATGTGATCATGCCGGCTAGGACGTATTGCCTCCGTATTGCCCCTTTTTACAGCTAGCTAGGCTCATTTTTAGGTTCCATGGCCTGAAATGACGAAAAATTCATGCCCTAAATGTAAAAAGTCTAAAAACGTCCTCGAAATTTTAGTTTCCAAGCCGTTTAGTTTAGAAGCTTGTTTCTCTGTTTTACCAGTGCCCAGTCCCCGCCGTGTAGCACCCCATCCAAAATGCTTGCAAATTAAAATGGCGGCCAAAATTTTTCATCCGAGAATGTTGTGAGGGCTAGAAAGTAAAAATCTATGATTCTTTCTGAACACGCTTTAAAAGGAAATGGCGATAAACTTGTTAAAGGGTTTGTTAGCATTCTTGAATCTGCGACCTCTTGGTTAGACATTCGTGAATATTTTGTATGAGGCTGGCAGTCGAGAGTCTGACGGGGGTGCGAGGAGTTTCATAGTTTCTGTAACGTAGCCGGTAAGTTACTCATTTGCTCGTCATGTCAGTTGTAAAGTTAAGTATTTTGGGATAGTAGCGAACGTTGAAGTGAGGATTCGAGGGGGAGACAATGTTCTTTCGTTTTCGCAGCACTGTCGCTCCATGAGCCCAACCAGTTATCAGCTGTGGATCATTGTGGATCACGAACACAATCGATGAAATGTTGTCACGAGAAGACAATTAGCTTCAAATCGCCCTAAACAATAAACTCAACAGAATCGTTTTTAGCAGATAAACTTCCTGTTGTAGTTCACTACTTTTTCTAACGAGGTGAATGAAGCAAAGAGGTGAACAAACTGAATTACAATTGAGGTCATAATTTGCCCCAGCAAAGAGGGCGAGTGAAACATAAGCGATTTGCTTACCGAGGTGGGTAAACTGAATTAAGGTTTTCCTGTTCATTTAAAATACTTGTTTGCATTGATCTCATGAAGTCAAAAAGTGATTACAACAGAAACAAATATGTACAATTCCGTGACAATTCACTAAATCAAAGATGCGTTCTGAAACCTTTCTTTTAATTATTATTCATTCAAAATATTTCCCCGATTCTGATTGGCTAAAAGCACACGTTTAATTCACCATAACCAGTTACTGATGACCAAATTTGGAAGAAATTTGACTTTAACGAGGAAATGACGTCAAAAATGCAGCGTTTTCGCAGGTTAAGGCACCGTTAACCGAGAAGACCTGGGGACGAGGTTGAGTTGGTTTGGTTGTGAACTTGAAAAAATGGCGGACATTTCACTCGTTTCAAGAGTAAGAACTAGGCGAAAAAATAGCTAAAAACATGGCAAGAACAGCAAGAAGACAACTCAAAGGGCGCCATCTGCCATTTGGAGAATATTTGCCGAGCTGGACAAACCTAAACGTACACTATCGAAGATGAACTGAACATCGATGGATCGATGGAGGTAAGCATGGTTTAGCTATGTTTTTTAACTAGGAATTATTTTGAATGAATAATAAAACAGTTATTGAATTCGGCTTTCGTATCATATGAAGAATTATGGAGATCTCGGAGGGTGTTATCCGCCTCGGCCTACGGCCTCGACGGATAACACTCTCCTCGATCTCCATAATTCTTCATAAGATACTCAGCCTCATTCATTAACTGTTAAATATGTCTTTATTGTGTATTTGTCAATAACTATCCAAACTGATTTTTGAGTATGCATTTTATATACAATAGGTTACTACCGTTCCAAGCCCTTGATCTTTCTACATGGGGCCGCACTTCACTTCCAATATGGAACCTCTAGTTTATTGACTAAAAAAGACATAGATTTAGCAAAGGCTAAAAGCAAAGCTCTCGAGGGATCTTTGAAGAAATGTCTTCCTCAAATAATTCAACTTTCGCCATAACAAAAAGCAAACTTGATTCCTTCTGAAAACTGGACCTGAGCCTGCTATCAATTGAAATCAAATGTTTGGTCAGCGAAGAACTTCAAAAAAAACATGTCACCACTGTGAGAATGTGTACCTGAGCCCGCGATACGGTCATGTGGCACTGATTAGCAGATACCCTATTTTGACAGCTGTCAACTGACCATAACCTGGATGTCCAATATAAACGGTTAGATACAGATTGTATATGCCCTTATTGAAGTCCAATCCAGCCAAGCTTAGAGACGGATGTACCTACTGACGACTTTTTTGCTCACCAACTTGGATCAGAACCATAGGGAATTCGTGTGTGTGCTTCTTCTTGAATGCATAGCTAACCAAATTTTACTACCCATGATGCTTTGCTGCGCGCGCTTTGCGCGGGAGAGAAGTAAAATAAATTACAATTTTGCTATACGTAATGCATTTGTAAAGTAGTATTTAGGGTTTAGGCCAAGTTTTCCTACTATATTTCCCATATTTGGAAAACTACATATGGTCCAAAGGGCCGAAACTTTCCGATCCCGAAAAGACTGAAAATGAAAAGAAATTACGTGTCTGCCGGAATAGATTTCACTCAAAGTAAGCGATTTTAACAAGCCTTAATTGCTGGCAGGCAGAATACTGAGCCTTCTTACGATCGGAACTTGTAATGTTAAGCCTGTTCCTCGTTTACACCACCACTGACCCTGACTTCAAAAACCAAACATTTTTAAATTCTTAAAAATTTCTTTTACGAGGAGGGTTTCAAGACGTTACGTACTTTACTTTACTTTACTATATCTTTTCCTACTCATTTCTTGAGAAAAGGAAGGATTCAGAGGGGGAACCACTGAAATTTGCTTGGAAAATGAAGACATGGGGGTGGGGGGATCGCGAAAGTCATCAAATGTTATTTGGGGGATCACTTCAGTGAAGTAACATTCAAAGGGGGGATCGGCTGAATTTCACCTTATTTAGCCCCAAATCCTCCGATCCCCCCAGGCGATAAATAATAACCGGTCCCTTAGCGACAATGAGTTTTTAAAAGGATTTTGTTGCAAGTGGAACTTTTACAACAATTTTTGGTACTTTGTGCCGCGAATGACACACCACAGGAAAATGCAAGAAGACATCCAAAATGCAAGTCCTTAACGCGCTAATCGTGCAAAAACAGTTGAACTTAAACTCGCACTACAGTTCTCTGAACTAATGTATTTTCTTTGTATAGCATGTCCCGAACCTCTCGGGATGGAGAGCAGAAAAATAACCGATGGCCAGATCACAGCTTCAACCGAATTCAACGCTGCACACGGTGCCACCAATGGCAGACTTAATTTCAAGGCTGGAGACGGTAAGACTGGCGCATGGTCCGCCCTCAGAAATGACGTTCATCAGTGGCTACAAGTGGATCTTGGAGCTGAAACCGAGGTGACAGGAGTACAGATCCAGGGACGACAAGATGCCGATCAATGGGTTACGAGTTTTACTATCTCCTACAGCAGCGACGGCACCACCTATACATCTTATCAGAACAGCGAGGTATGGAAAACAATGAAAATCGTAGCAAGAGAAACTCAAGCTGATGACTAATTAAATCTCGACTCACTAACATGAAATTGTCTCAAATCTCAGCATTAAAAACTTAGCAACACTGTTACCCTCCACAAGTAACTTACTAGTTTAACCTTAACACTTCATTTACCAGCTCAAGGTCTTCGATGGAAACACGGACCGCAACACCGTGGTTTTGAAGGGTTTGCACCCTTCCATAAATGCACGCTACATTCGGGTGCATCCAAAGACGTGGAGTGGCCATATTTCTATGAGGATGGAACTAATGGGATGTCCGTCAGGTATTACAGTGACAATCTTGTTCGTTTTCTTCTTAATTAACAAACAAGTTCCCAGTTACTTTCACCACAGCGGTAGACAGTATACTCGCATAGTTTTTCAACTGCAGTTCACTTCTCCTATTATTACATAATCACAGGGCCAAATAATTTCTTTTAGAATCATGTAATCAATTTTATAGAATAACCTATAACCTTTTATAGAATAATGCGTTTAAACTCAGAATCATGCTTAGGAAATACGTGGGCTGGGAAAATAAAAAAAAGAATCTACTTTTAAACAAATATAATTTTACAAACAACGCTTTAGCGAGTGCAGCCAGCGGTTGCACTTCCCTGCCACTTCTTTTATTGGGAAGCAAGACAGTAGTTCCACATCCCAGGAATCTCACGAAGGAATGAGACCTAGTCCAGTATAATACCATCAGATAAAACATTAATCTTAAAGATACTTATATAGATGTAGAGAAATAAAATAATGATCTGCTTGATGTACGTTCTAGTCGTGCTAAATATATAGAGAGCATAAGGAATAATCGAATGAGCTAAACAAAGGTTCCAGTCAGAACAAAGGGGGCGGGGAGGGGGGGCGGTGAGAGGGAAAAAAAACGCTGTTGTGAATGAACCGAAGCCCTAAGAGAACTGTGCATGATGAGCATGTGATATTAATATGAATGGAACCTTTGTAGAGTCTAGTATATATATCATGTTACCGGTTACGGTGGACTTTGCCAGAGGAGAAGGATACATTGTAATCGCACAACTAGTTACTGTTTATTGTTCTTTCTTGTACTTTGAACTAGTATCTACCATTACTTAGTACAAAAGCCTATCCAAATGTTGAACGTGTTGTGACAAAATAACAGAGATATGATTGATGCTAATAGGTCAATATGTGTGTTTCAAAGGGCATATATGTAATTTTCAGGTTTATTAACATCAGTTTATGCTACCATAAACTTGAACTTAATAAATTGTAGTATTAAGGCAATTATGGCAGGTACATACTCCTTTAAGCGATTTCTTAAAAAAAACTCCTGGTACAGAGAAACACAAAGATAAATAAAAATCGTACTGGCTTCATTACGTTGCCATGGCGACTCCGATTGTAATAAAACCAGGATCGTAAGAAATTTTCATCTTTACATAATACAGTTGTGGTAACCTTTTCCCCATATCTTTACTCATGCCGACGTACTTAATGCTCAAACTTGGGAGGTATTCCCCCCCCTAAAAAATCCAGTCGAACCACCTTAAAAGTTAATTGCTTTAATTATAAGTTAAAAACGGAGGCTTCGCTTTTAGCCCTGGCTAATTCTATTTAGTAAAATCCAACTAGTGGTCTATTATCAATGCTGCGTTCTGATTGGTCAAGCTACTACAAGGCTATATGTTATAGCTTACTGGTAGTGAAAAGCGCCGGCTTTTGGGCGGCAAAAAAAGGATTAAAGTCTAGTTTTAACCAGTTGTTTTGTCTCGATATTTTTGACCAACTAGTCAAAAGCCCATTCGGCCTTCAACTTCATGGACTATTGCCGCATGCAGTAATAATTTTAATTTTATTTAGACAAAAGTGAAGCTTTGTTCACTATCAATCTCATTTATCTTCAGAAATATCACAAAGCAGCACCGGTTTAGCTTTTTCTGGTGGTGGCATCAGATCAGCAGCTTTCTGCTCCGGAGTCCTAAGCAGACTACTAGAGAGCGAAGTTAAAGTGGATTATTTGAGTTGTGTATCAGGGAGTGGTTACACGGGCACAGCTTACTTGGACTGGAAATATCGCGAAGAAAGTAAAGACAAAGGGAGGAGACAAGGAGAAGGCGAGGGAGGCTGGCACAAGGAGTTCTTTGAACATATGAAACAAAGATCGGGATACATTTGTGACTGTACTAGCTGTTCTGGAAGATGCTGCAACGACGCATTCTGCTTCGCCGGTTTTATCATAATTCACCTCATTCTGCCAGTAATTTCATGGGCATTTTATGCTTTTCCTGTGGCCATTACCATCGATATTATCTTCGGAAAATTAATGCGACAGTCGCAAGACTGTGATGCTGCTTTAGAAAGGCAAAGAGAAGAGAAAGGGACCACAGAGCATGACAATGCTCTCATTATCCGTTGTCTAAGCGGAGGTGGCAAACGCGATATCGCTAGGCTGTTTATTTCCCTGTTCGCTGCTTTTATAGTCTTGTTTTTTATCACTTCCAAACTTAAAAGAAGGTGTTCTCGCTTAAAAAGCTTTCTGCTGCTGGTTGAATACTCTGTTGCTTGTACGTTGATATTCACTTTTATCCCGTTTACAATTTACGACTTTTTTGTGAAGATCCCTGTGTTGACACAGGTTTTTGTGGCAATAATTGCTGTGATTGTATGGGTTGGTATTCCTTTCCTGCGCAGAAAGACATCTTACGTCATGATAGTCTATGCGTATTCGTTTGTCATATATTGGAAGGTGTTCAGAGTGGACTTGCCAGTATTCTTTATCAGCCACGAAGATCACCTATTTCACTGGCTGTTGTCTACCTCTGGAATGTTCTTGTTCATTTCCTCCTTCTTTACAAATTGCAGAGGGAGGTTTGCGCATGGATACAATAGGTAAGAAAAGTCGCTCATACGATTAGAGAAAGTATTGCGGTCTTTTGTGGTAGGGCCTGTGTCACAATACAGTCAACTCTCTCCAGGATGGACACCTTTGGGACTGGCACTAATTTTCCGTCTGATAGAGAGTTAAAAAAAGGAAGTAAAGAAAGAAAGGGGCCGACTCTGGGTGTCTGTTTTACAGAGGTGTCCACCTTATAGAGATTTTACAATTTTGATTGTCCTTTTGGTCTCCCTTGTTGGCAGAACAAGAGGAAAGTCATTCTACGCACTGTTCAATTACGGCCGGCCAGATGACACGAGCGAAAAAGTTTGGAAAGGTTCGGATAAACGACGAATGGCTCGCATTTTACGAGTTAAGTTAATTGACCCATTCAGTTTTTAACCGTTCCGTTCTAAAAAGGTCCATAAGCAGGTTTTGTTTCTGAACGGAACGGATAAAAGTCGGTTCCAAACCTGCATTTTTGTTAGTTTTAACGTCTTTACGCTCCTCAGGTCACTTCATGACTACCTAATTAAATATGCATATTTTGTTGAATGCTATTTCGAAAGGTTTGCTTCTATCAGTGCTCCTAAAAAGTGAACTACAAATGTGAAACGTGATTTCAAACAACACGTGACATTGCTTCGTCAATGACGTCACAAAACACGTTTTCAACGGGGAAGGGTTGCAAACCTTAATCTTAGGAATTTTCACTAACAAAATGTTACATAAACAGTGTAAATCGTAAATCTGCCTTGTATGATTGCAAATGTTATTTATCCTATTAGCTATCTCACTAATTAATAAGTCACGTGACCCTTTTCCCAATATTTACCGATTCCTATATAACGTAAACACACATACATTGCGAATTTTTTCAGAACCTTTTTAATAGCCTCTGAAATGTATCTAAAAGAACTTGTTGCTCTTTCATTATCTTTTCCCCATTTTAAAGTAAATACTTTGACCATCGATTCTCAATTATCAGTCACGAGACAAAAATGTGACCTTCTAAAATGTCTAACGTTGCTAAGGCTATTAAGCTACATTTGTAGTTCAATTTTCAGGATCATTGATAGAAGCAAACCGTTCTGAATAACATTTTATCAAAATATACATATTTAATTAGATAGTCCTGCCTTAAGCGGCCTGAGTCGCTCTCTTTTTGGTACTGATCTTTTGGTTGAGGTCTCGAATACCAAAGAGTAAGCGGCCCCCAGGATTAGTAATTAAAGTCAAGATCGTGACGACTATTCTCGTACCCGTAACAAAGCTTGTACTTCCAAACAATCGAAATTTGTCTTCGACTGGTAATTGCTTCTACCAGAACCGTTCCGTCTATTTTGACATGTAAAAGCCAGATCCTTTTTTACGCTCGATAAAGAAAAAAAGATTTTGAGAAAACTACTTGCAAATGCCCTATGATTTATTGTGAAAAAGTGTATAAAGGTGATGTTACACAGCTTTACACGGAACGATTCGCAACAACGATTTTCAGCGCAACACAGCATTGCAATATTGGAACAATGTTGCAATCATTTGAAACAATGTCGCAACAACGATGCAACGCTGTGTTGCGCTAAAAATGCTCCTTGCGAATCGTCTCGTGTAACATCACCTTAAGTATGCTATCTGGATATCTGGGCTCAGAACAACATTTGCGAACTAGCGAGACCTTAATGTGTGGAGGAAACTAAAATTTATAACTTAAGATACGTAAAATTTCCTTGAAAAAATAAACTTCAATTTATAAAACAAAAAACAAATCAAACTAAAAACTTCTAATACACTCAAAACGATTAATGGCGTCCTTGTGTTATTTTACAATAAAGTGTGATGTTTCACATTGGCAGACCTACGGACAGGAGCACAGGGTACAGAGGAGTTTCGTGTGAATAAATGAATCACTTATTTAAAGTCTCACCTTGAAAAATGTCTATATCTGACGCTTATTAGCACGATTAATTAGCCCAATGGGATCTTTATGAATCTACCGTAAACGATTTCTTCGCTTCTTATCTGACCCAGATCGACCTTGTTGTTCGCCATTTTGAAAATCAGTAACCGCAAACCATATCCTCGCTGGCGCACGGCACGTCGCGAGGCCCTCGGTCTATAGGATGTGTAACGAAACTGTAACGCGATCAAAATAACCCATTTTCAGAGGTTTTCGACGGGTTTTGATGTTCTAACGACAAACACATCTCCTCTGGACACTGTGACAGGAGGTCAGGTAAAAACAAAAGGACAAGAGCTTAACTAGCTCACACGCTGAGCTTTGCTAAATAGTTCTTCTATTCTACAGGTGGAGGTTACAGAAAGCGTTTTATCACCAGAACAGTACCAGGCTATGCGGATGTTTAGGCATTTGTCCTTCATGGTTATGCTGCTTATGCAACTCGAAAAATGAGACGAGGCCTCTGACCCTAGCAGATCTGAAAGACATGAAGCCCGAGTATATATCCAACATTGTTGTGAACCGTTGGAAGAACAACGAGAAAGACAAAAAGAACTATGCACTGTTAACTATGTCACCTTCTGGAATAGAGCGATTTGACCAGCATGGAAAAGGACAGTTCAAAGGTAGACTGGATCCTGGAAAAATCGAGTTATCAGAGGCCATGGCGACATCTGCGGCAGCATTATCGTATCACATGGGAAAATATGAAGATTCAATGGAAGGATTGATCCGTCTTTACACGATCCTTGGACTTGAAATGGGTGCTACGCAGATAAGCGATCAAGGAGATCAGACTAAGGTAGCATATCAGGCAAGAGTTTTTGTGGTGAATTTATGTGGTTTCCTTGCAACGCGAGGGAAGTAAGGCCTTTGCGTAGAGAAGGTTTATAGCTACGTCGAAATTTGAGTCGGGTTTATACGTATATCTGGTCTCCCTCGTTCCCAAGGGTTTTCTCTCTTGCCTCGAGAAAGAACCCTGGTTGTAGCTGGTCAAGACTACCTGTGACAATGAACCCCTCACTAGGGTAAGGCTTATATATTATCTTTTTCTTTAGTTATGGAACAATCGGCAGTGATAAATTGCAGAACGATGAACGCAGAACGCTGAATGACTCTGAGTTTAGTGGCTAGCGTTAGGAAACTGAGTGAATCAGGTTTCATTTAGGGTCATTATACTGGAAAACAATTAATCGGATAAAATTAAACAGCTTTTTCGTTTTTCGCGGATGCGCAGAAGCCAAATTTTGGACTTCCCTTGCCTTACTTGCTGAAACCCGTTTCTATACTTATTTTAATATCCTCATCTTTTTTCGTTTCTTATAACCAACAGACCGTAATATTCTGCGGCTGGTTCACCTGCATTGCATTAGGTGTTCTTCGTGGATTTCCCTTGGTCATCCCAACAATATTTTATTATTGTGATTATAAAAATTTTGAGACGGCAGTCTTTTGGGCCGTGGTGTGCTTCCTATTTATACACGCCTCGCTTGTTCTCACCGCAATCTGCGATTCTGGGTGCAAGAAAAAACCAGCCACCCAAGATTCTAGCTCTGGACCGAAAGCACAACTAAAAGAGCTTGAACTAGGAAATTTCCCACAAGCTGGGTCAAGTGTCAAGCAAGATCCCGAAACACGGTGTTGTGGAAAATACATAAGGTGAGTGTGTGATTACAAAGTCAGAATGGCTTTATACCTACCATTCGATAATACATTCTGGATTTCACTTTCTTTCTGTAATTTTTACTTGGGAAAAGAGTAGGCAGATTATCCTTATTTACCGTAGTATTATTATAAATGGTTATCTTCATTCTCGATTTTTACAGTCCCGAAGCCATTGACAGGTCCTCAATATTAATGTTTCCGGTGATTTTTCCAACTTACTTTTTCAGCTTGTTATTATTATCATCATCATCACCATTATTATTAGTATTATAATAATTCTTATTATCATTACTATTGTTACAGTAGTATTATCATTATAATAACAATTTTTTTTATTATCATCTTCAATGAAATTGGATTTCATTTTTATTTTTTAAGAACAGAAGTTAAAAGTCCTCATTAGAATAATTTTTTAATTAAAAAACATGCAGCGGAAGGAAAATATGAACTGATAGGATTTCTGTATCAACTTAAAAAAAAAACATAAAACACGGGCTTCTTTCTAGGTGGCTCAAGGCGAACATTCCTTTCGTCTACAATTCGAGATTGTTATTCTCCAAGGACACCATTGGGTCAACTCCGCCAGCAGTCCTATTACTTAGCGACGGTGGTCATTACGAAAATCTCGCCATTTTGCCACTGTTGCAGAGGAAACTGAAAAGGATTGTTGTTGTCGACGGAGGGTATAAAGACGAAGAGGAGGACTACGGAGACTGTATTCTAAACGCATTGATGCTCGCTCGGACTGAGCTAAACTGCTCATTTTATGCCGAAGACGGAAAAGATGTCATTACAGACCTGATACAGATGTTTGTAAAAGGGGACGAAAAACCGCGCTATTACAAGTATGCATATCTCCTGCCTAAACATTTTTTCCGCTTTAAAGATCGTTAGGGTAATCGCCTTTCTCCCTTAGTTCTCAACCGATTTTCACCTTTCTTTTGCATTGTCACAGTATGTTAACTCGAAAGGCGAAGAGTCTCCCGGAAGTTAAAGAATGGTGGTTATGGACACTTTAGGTTCTTTTATCTATATTTTCAATTTTGTCGTGGCGAGGACCGGCATTTTAGCATTTTATACCCTTTTGAACCTTTTTCTTAAAAAATATAACTTTGTCCCTGAAATTTAACAAAAAAAATCACATATTACGTAAGTAGTTAATTATTAAAAAAAAAAAAACCATCGGCGACTATTGGCAAGTTTGGTAAAGGAATGAAAGGGAATGTGAATAATGCATGAAACCTATCAGAGCTCCGTAACATTCTGGAAATATTTCTCTCGTAATTATACAGATTTAAAGTACACTATGGCAAAGAAAATTACAATGATCCGGACCGCGATGGAGAAATCATTCTTCTTGTGCCAAGGGAACCACAGGAAAGCGCAAGCAAAGAAGAGCCCAGGGAATTGATTAAAGAACAGGGCAAGAAGTTAACCAACGAAAAGGCCATGGAGTTAACCTTCTGCTGCTGCGAGTGTTGTCATCAAAAATCATGTTATGAGTTCTCCAAGTGCCTTTGTAACGCGTTCCCACAACACAGCACGGCCAATCAGTTCTTCACACCCCGGATGTTCGAGGCTTATCACGAGGAAGGACGCCGGGCCTGTGAAGAGGTTAACGCTTATGACTTTTTCAAAACAGCTTGCCCTGCGGGTGACAAGCGGGAAGTTTCGGAAGAGCCAAGTACATCTGGTTGTCAAGACAAAGTAAAGTAAGGATAGACCCAGCAAAGGGATCATAGATATTCGTGTATAGAGTAACGGAAAATAGAGTCTATTCGAAAGTTGAATCCGTTAGTAGTTATATATTTCAGACTCATCTCTGCATTCTGCAAGCGTAATTAGCAGTGAATTCACACGTGAGGTAGTTATTAATCAACTTTCTCACGTTTGGCATCAGATCCAAAATTATTATACTAAACAGCAACAAAACAACAACTTCATGTGGCTAAAAAAGGGAAAGTGGGTGACAAAGTGCTCCACTTCTGAAACACTAAACAGCAACAAAAGCGACAACTTTGTTTGGCTAAAAAAGGGAAAAAGGGTGGACGAGACAAAGTGCTCCACTATTGAAACTTAGGTTAGCCCCATGTACTCCTGGATTTTTGTAAGCTAGTATAGAGGAGGGAGTTGGTCCTCCTCCCTAGGCCGACTGTGACCATTCCTGGGTAGTGAGGAGGGAGTTTAGCCACCACTCTGGGGGAGGAGAGGCCTTGAGGGACTTGAGCCTCCAATAACCTAGTTGGAAGGTGCACAGACCGATATAGGGAAGTAATTTGGGCCTCCCCTCAGGGTCGGTTGTGACCAATAGTGGGTCTCCCTAACGCCCCCACTATTCATTTTTTTGGATGTCAGTTACTTCGAAGGTGAAAACGCAGTACAAAGTTCAACGCACAGATGCAACCTCACTGAGGGCATACGACAACAGTAAGGGTCAGGTCTCCTTTCCCTGCGGGCTTGTCGCTTCTGGTCCAGGCCGAAAAGCTGCTTGTCTTCAAAGCCTTGAACACACTTGTCAATGGCTGTTTTCCAGGCGCTGCGGTCTGTGGCGAGGGTTTCCCATTCAGAAGCGCGAATGCCGCACAGACCAGGGGATGCCGTCAGGCCGTCTTTGAACCTCTTAAGTGGGCGACTAATGTTACGCCCACCAGTGGCCAGCTCAGAGAAGAAGACCATCTTCGGAAGGTGGGTGTCGTCCATCGGAAACACATGTTCAACCTACCGCAGCTGTGCGTTCATGATGAGTGCCTCAATGCCTGGCCTGTCGTCTCTGCGCAGCACTTCTGTGTTGGAGATTTTATCTTCCCAAGAGATGCTCACGATCTTGCGAAGTCATCGGAGGTGAAACTGATCGAGTGTATTCAGCTGATTTTTGTAGAGTGTCCAAGTCTCACAGCCGTAGAGCAGGGAAATGATAACAACTGCCTTGTACACCTGTATTTTAGTACGTATTGTGACGCCTAGCTCACCCCATACTCGTGTCCACAGTCTGCCGAAGGAAACACATGCTTTAGCCAGCCTGTTAGACACTTCTTTGTCCATGCGGCAGGTTGAAGTCACTGTGCTCCCCAGGTACTGGAAGCACTCCACGTTGTTAAGCTTTTGTGCCATCGATCTCGATGTTTGGCTGTGGTGGAGCCAAAAGGCTTTGGTGGCTTTTGACATGCAGCTGGCAAGTTCGTGGAAGTCTGTTTCATTCAGGGCTGCAAGGACGCAGTGGTCAGCAAAGAGGAAGTCTCGCATGAGGGCTTCAAGGACCTTGGTCTTGGCAATCAAACGTCTCAGATCGAAGTATCCGCGATCATATCTGTAGCGGACGGTGATGTCAGAAGGAGAGCAGACTCCCGAAAACAGCATAGTAGCCTTGTTTGACGCCATTGAAGACTGGGAAGGAGTCAGGCACAAATCCGTTTTCCACTATGCCAGCCATCACGGAAAGACTTGGTGAGGTTGACAAACCGCGGTGGACAGCCAACCTTGAGGAGTATGGCCCACAGGCCCTCACGACTGACTGTGGACCCCCACTAACCTATATGTATATCCCAGAAGTACAAAATGTCGAGTCTGCGGGGCAAAAGTGTAACGAGAGGAGCACTTCATCCACATTCCTAACTTTACTGAAAAACACAACTGTCTTCAGAGTAGAAGTGCAAGGTAGAGACAACCAAAATTAACTAAATGGGTGCCTTATAGTTGCATCAGGTTGAAACTCTTAACTGAAAGGGGCATCAACTGTTGACGCAGAAATTGATAACGACTATAGAATAGGATGTAGACTTAACCTTTGATTATACAGGGGCACCCATCGAAAATATAGTTCAACCCCCTTATACTAAGCATTGTTGAACGTCTTTTAGTATTTAAACGGTAGATATAGGCATATTTTTATCCCCTAAAAATTTTTCATCTGTTCGGATTTCCTAGCTGAAAGTCTAGTGATCCGAAAATTGTAGGGATAAAAACTTCCCTTTTCGAAAATTTCAGCCAGAAAAAAGGCCACCGAAAATTCTAGGGGACCTTTTTAGGGTAAAAATCCGTTAAAAATGGGCAGTTATACCATTTTTTAGATGTTCGAAAATCCTAGGAGAGGTAGGCAACAAGAAATTTTGCCACAAATGTTCCGAAAATTCGAGATCTCAAATCGTCTTCCGAACAGATATTTTCCAAAAATTGACGCTGGGTGCTCCTGATTATACGGTCTTTACTTATTAAAAATAAGACGAAGTGGCACTTAATAAAGGTTTTACAAGTCCTATGTCCAGTAAAATAAAATAAGAAAGAAAAAACAAGGAGTGGAGTGGAGGGGGGTGGGGGGGAGGAATTTGTAAAGAAAACTTCACAAGATATTGTGCTTTGGTCGAGAAGAAAAATAGAGTGACGAGGCACATGGGAATACAACCTAAGGAACATGACAGATTGCCATGTGATTAGTCAAAAAAACAATGAAGAGTTCATAGGGCTCAGCTCTCTTGAGGTTGCACGTGAAAATCACGGTACATAGGACAGAACTTAAACAAGAGTTGTTGATTAACTAAAACTTATTTCTTATGATAAATTACAGTCGACTCCCGATAACTCGAACCTTCAAGGGAAATCGAAAAACCTTCGAGTTATCGGCAGCTCGAAGAAAATAGCCGGGAGTAAGGAAAAAACAGTTTTTACTGAACAGAGAACATTTTAATCACATTCAATTGTAGAAATGTTAAAGTGAAAATTGAAAGATAATTCTAGATTATAAATCAGAACGTAACGTAACAAAACATTGCCTAAATAGAGCATGCGTTTTACTGTTTTGAGAAGTAAAGCTGTTTCCCGTTAGATTTGTGACAAACAACATAAGCCTCCACTAGTAACTACATGCCTACAACACGTCAATGGGAAATTCAAAATTCAATGTTTCGGACGCCAGTACATTGTTTTTTCCCGACTTTTTAGGGGCTCAAAATATGGTTCGAGTCATCGAGGGTAAAATTATGTAGAAATGATCTGAGGGGAAACAAAAATTACTTCGAGTTAGCGGGAGATTCGAGTTATCGAGGGCTCGAGTTACCGAGGGTAAAATTACAGTAAATGTATAACGGAAATCCAGGGGAAATCAATTTTGGTTCGAGTTAGCGCGAGGTTCGAGTTATCGGGAGTCAACTGTATGATGGAAATTCTTCTCAACTCAGTTTTCTTGAATTTGATGTAAATGTCTTCAAAGCAAGTTTGTCCTTTCAAAGATATTTCAATCCGACCGAATAAAGAGAAGTGATTGTAAGAAATTCACTGCTAATTACGAATGCTGGAATGCAGATTTGAATTAATTTATTTTGATACTAGTTGCGGTACAGTCTAAAAGATTTAACCTTGGAACAATCAATCTTGGTGGGTACGCTTGACCTAGCTTGACTGTAACGTGTCTGAAAAGTGGTTCACTAATCCAGGAAACTTCGCAAAGTAGCCCGGCGAAGCGATAGCCTGAATATCGATGGTAGTGGTAGTGGCAGTGGTGGTGGTAGTAGTAGTAGGAGTGGTAGGGGTAGTAGTACAAAAAAGTATTAGAAGAAGAAGTAATTATAGTAATTAGTTTACTCTTTAGCAAGTAGGGTTGCATGGTTACACCTCCAGCAATATATATGCTAATCATAGCAGAGAAAAATGAACATAATAACAATAATAAGATAAGGGAAAACAGAAAAAGTTGTTACCAAAAACTTGTTTACCATATAAAGCCGAATCTTTTGCATGTTTTTATGTTGACGCTCAAATGCTCAGATATATAAATAGTATTAGAGCTATTCGGGCTTCGAACAACTCAGCCCTCCTTAAGAAAGGGGCTACTTTTGAACAAGACTGACTTTCAGTGAAAATTGAAAGAATATGAGACGGGGAAAAATAAGTGATTATGTAATGAAGTTTTAAAAAACAAAGTAGTGATTGGCTCAACGCGAATTCCAGATGGTGAGTTGATATCGCGATTGCAAAAATTAACTAAATAGGGCATTTATCCACAACGTGTCGAACTGTCCATTTAACAACCCCTTTTGAGTTTCTGACAATATAATGTGGGAGACGACTTGGTCAAAGTAGGAGCACATAACCACTTCCCTCCGCCGCCTTCATCGTGCGAGAAGGAAAAGGGGTTGGGGAGGCACGTCGTCTCTCTAGGGGGTGTTTTATTGCATTCTTATCATCATCATCATCATCATCATCAATCTTTATTTATACACGAAATCGTATCATTTTACATGGTCTTCCTAGGAATCGTGTTTAAAACTAGACTAAAATACTAAGACTAAAAGACTAAGGAACTATTGACTATAATGTTAAAAATACAAAAACTTACATTATGGATAATAAGAGTTACAATGGGTCATGGTGTATTAGAAAAATCTTTCCCATGAATTGAAGTTTTAAAAACATTTAAACTGGGCAGTTTTCTAATCTCTGAGGGAATCTTGTTCCACAGAACAGATCCTCTGTAGTGTAGGCTCCTTTTTGCAGACTCAGTTTTGGGTCTGGGGACATAATAATTTAACTCAGAATTTCTAAGATTGTGTGAATGTACATTTGAGGTGTTGGTAAAGATCCGCCTCAGATACGATGGGGAAAGATTATTATGGATTTTATACATTGTCACAGCCAACTGTTTAAGTCTTGCATATTCTAGCCTTTCCCAGCCAAGCTCATCCAACAAAACACTTGAGCGAACGTCATAGTTAGAAAAAGTGAGAATTCTAGCAGCCCTATTCTGCAGTTTTTTAAGTTTGTCTGCTAGTCCCTTATTGATATTACCCCAAACGGCACCACAGTAATTAAAATATGGCATTACCAGTGCATTGTACATGTTCACTCTAGTATCAAATGGTATAAAATGACTTACACGCCTTAAGATAGCAATACCAGCGGATATTTTCTTTGAAATGGTATGAATGTGTGGGCGCCAGTTCAAAGATTCATCAGTTTGAACTCCAAGGGATTTATGTTTAATTACTCTTTCTAAGGGTGTATTATTGACTTTGACTGTGAAGTCACTGTTTATTTGGGATAACTTAAATTGGCTCCCTATAAGCATGTATTTAGTCTTCTTAACATTTAAAGTTAATTTGTTTGCTGACAGCCATGACTGGATTAAATTCATATCATAATTCATTTTATGTTCAAGGACACATGGGTCTTCTGCAGATGTGGTAAGGGTAGTATCATCTGCATACATTCTGGGTTTTGAAAACAAATTACATGAAGGGAGATCATTAATATAAATAGTGAATAAGAGAGGGCCTAAAATAGACCCCTGTGGAATACCACATGTTATATTACAGAAATCAGATTGAACTCCATCAATGAACGTTTGTTGCTTTCGGTCAGATAGATAGGACTGGAACCAGTTAAGGGATTGAGAACTGACCCCATAGAGTTTAAGCTTTCCCAGAAGGATAGCATGATCCATGGTATCAAAAGCTTTTTTCAAGTCCAGGAATATCACACCATTTAAGAGACTGTCGTCAATATTCCATAGCCATTCATTCGTAGCCTCAAGTAAAGCTGTTTCAGTGGAAAACATAGGTCTGAAGCCAGATTGTGATTCAGTTAACAAGTTATTATTATTTAAATATTCATATAATTGATTAAAAACAACTCTTTCAATTAATTTACTTACTACAGGCAGAACTGAGATAGGTCTGTAGTTGTTA